AACTTCTTGTGTGGTGAGAGATTATTGTGGTGTAAGATCTAGGAGCCTCCTATGACCCTATATATATATATATATATATATATATATATATATATATATATATATATATATATATATATATATATATATATATATATATATATATATATATATATATATATATATATATATATATATATATATATATATATATATATATATATATATATATATATATATATTCCCAAGAGTCCTAATTGGGGTCTAAATATTATGGGCTTGCTAATTCTATTCCTTATAAGAGTAAGGGGTTGGTTATAGGGATGTGAGCCCATGGACTATGGTGGACCTTTCTTAATTGATTAATGGGGTTTTAATTATCTTTTTAGGGTAAGTGATTAAATATTTAGTTAGGGTTAGGGGTCGTAACACGGGGTGTTACAACAAGGGCCCGTAACACTCGGTCCGAAACGACACGTAGCTGAGCCACAAGGGCCCGGCCACTGCACAAAATTTCTTCACAGACCATACTCAGGGACCTGGGGCGGGACTCTTCATGGTCCGCCCCTGGAGCCCCGTTGATGTGCCGGGACTAGGCAACGGCCCTCCTCTAGGGCCGTGCTACCACGGCTCTAGCCAGCGGCCCTTCTAATGGGTTGCGGCTAGGGCCGCCACTCTGATCTGGTGCACACTGTATTGTGCACCAGATGTGATTTCACCTGCAAAAACTCATCCAAACAATTCCAAAACAATCTCAACAACTCACAAACACATACTAGATCACTTCTAAGCATAAACACATCAAAAGCTCATAGTTTCTATTCATTTCTACTCAAAACTAGGCTTCACAGAGCCAAATCTAAAGAGGAATCCATGGGGTTGTACCTCTTGTAGTCTAGTCTTCTTGTTGGGATCTCTTCTTCCTCTTGACCTAGCTTGAGCCTCCTACACTTCCCAACACACCTTCTATCCTTAGCCTAGAACCTCAAAGACTAAAGAAAACTAGAAGAGAAAAGAGGCTAGAATGAAGGATGAACAAGCTTACTAAGTTATTGTCTTTCTTCTTGTTGTTGGCAGACAAAGATATGAAGAGGAGGCAAAGAATGAGATCATGAAAATGAGATGGAATAAGGGGGTTTATATAGGGTTCAAAACCCTAGGATGATTCACAATGATTGGTTGAGGGCAAAGGGGTAATTTCTCAAGCTAAAAGATGATTCTATAAGGGATTTTGGATGTCTTGTGGTCCACCATGTAACATGAACCATGGGCTAGAAATGTTATCTTTTATTACTTTGGGGTTGAAAGTGAATTTTCCCTAAAGCTATATGGATGAACACTTGTTCAAAATTCCCTTTTGAATTCTCCCGGTCTCACTCAGATAAAATTCTCGATTTAAATCTTGGTATGCGAAGTACTCAAAAACTTTGGAATTTTCAAATAGATTTTATTTCTTCGGTGTCGAATTTATTTCATAATGCGACAAAAATTATTTTATTCATACACCGATTGATCGCAAAAATTTTTAATGGGGTGAAAAAGCTACTTTGGGATTTCTTAATACTGGATTAATAAAATGAAATTTTGGGTTGTTACAGCAGGCCCCAAGCCCCACCGCGACATGAGCAGGCCTCTTGGGTTGAGCTCCAATTCTCGCAACACGATCGGTTTCCGTCGCACCCAACACGCCCCAACTGGGAACAGCCCCAGCGGGGCCCCTAGCCTCCAACCAACCGTCACCATCAGGTCGGGAGGGGACTTGAGAGATCACCTCACCAACCACCACAGCGGTGGTGTGCCGGCTTCTGCTGCCCCTCCTCCGAATCTTGCCTTGCTACAAGAGGGGGCGGTCGCCATTTAACAAGCCTCTGCGACTTTGGCTCACCTCGCAGAGGCTCTCTGAGGAAGTGCGCACGACGGTCCGGAGGCCACAGAAAGGACGCCGACACCGCTTCCACCTCCCTTAAGGGGGCGCACCGGTCCAAGCACCCGGCCACCCCGGGCACTCAACACCCAAATCGAAGGGGATGTGAACTCGTCCTGGCCATCGGACAGGCGGGGAGGGGGTGACATCCGCTAAGATCACCATCGAGAGGGCGATATGGGGGTCGACCCATGCTTGGCCCGCCCCGGAGAGGCTTGGCAACCGCATGTCGGCCCGAGATAGGGTGGGCCCAAGTCCAACCCCCAATGCACCACCAGTGGAGGAATCGTGTTCCCGAAGGTCGCCGGGTCGTGGCTTCCGAGCCCCGCCGCGACAGGAATCGTGTTCACGTAGGTCACCCAGCCACGGGCCCCGAGCTCCGCTGCGACGCAAGCAGGCCTCCTGAGTTGAGAAGTCGGGAGAAACGAAAGGTCGAGCTCCAAGTACCCATCGTGACAAGGTCGAGCAGCTCCGTAAGCGAATGAACGAGCTCCCGGAAGGGATGGTCGCGCTCCAACAAGCTACCACCTGGTCGACCCGCCCCGTTGAGGGGCTCCAAGGAAGTGTCCGAGCCCTCCTGCTCGGCCCCAACGTCTCTCGATGGGTGCCTACATTTACCCCACCCCTCTCAAGGGGGCGTGATCGGTCGGGCACCCGGCTTCCCCGAACCCCATGAGCTCAAATATGGAAATATGTTCTTATCAATCCATGGTCGCGGTCGTGCGCGCCAGCCCCGACTTTAGCATTCCCTAACGGTAATATAGGGGTCACCCCCGCTCACTACCTAACGGAAGAACCTATTGTGGGCTGCTTGCACCTTGACATGGCCGATGCCAAGCGGGTAAGGGGAACCTACCTGCTCCTCGGTGATACACTCTACAAGAGGTCCTATAGCGGCACCCTACTGCGATGCCTATACCCCAGCGAGACAAAATCTGTCATCAAGGCTCGGTGATCCCCTTTTCAAAGTGGGGGTGGACATAGTGGAAACCCTACCTATAGGGTCAGCAGGCAAGAGCCTGGGTGGAGGAATTAGGTTCATCCTAGGCTCGCGCCCCCCGCGGAGGTAGTCACACCCACCTTCCGAGCCCAAGAGTACAACCCCGACCTCAACGACGAGCACCACCTGGTAGACCTCCACCTGGTAGACGCATAACCCCTCCAACTATACCCTAAGGGGGTACGAGGTCCGACGTTGCGTACCAACCCCGACGAAAGAGTTTAACGGCCCAGCGTCGCACGACCTGGTTCAAAGAGCTAGTACTCTAAGGGGGCACGAGGTCTGACCTCGCGTACCAACCCCGACGAAAGAGCTTAACGGCCCGGCGTCAAACGACCTGGGTCAAAGGGCTAGTACCCTAAGGGGGCACTAGGCCCAACCTCGCGTACCAACCCCGATGGAAGAGCCCAAATACCTAGGCTCAAAGAGCTAGGACGAAGAGGCTATCGCACCCTAAGGGGGCACGAGGCCTGACCTCGCGTACCAACCCCGACGGAAGAGCCCAAGTACCTAGGCTCAAAGAGCTAGGACGGAGCGGCTATCGCACCCTAAGGGGGCACGAGGCCCGACCTCGCGTACCAACCCCGACGGAACAGCCCAAGTACCTAGGCTCATGTGATGGATTGACTTTGAAGATATTTATGGATGATGAATGAGACCTATGGGGATTCTACCACATATGAGTCCTAGTTAATGAAGAAGTCGTGCTTGTAATAGAGTTCCAACCTTATCGCGAGAGGTGCGTTTCCGTACGCGCACCCATGGGCCTCGGACGCGGACGCCGGGTGGTCGACATTTTTGGCGGGTCGGTCGGAGCGTCTACTCTCCTTCGCTGACGATCACTCGCAACTCGAATAGTGGGGGACTGATGATGGATATATTATAAGTTGACCCGAGAGCATGCAGAAAGAACAAGGCCCCGGGGCGACGCTACGTGCCCGAGCTAGCCGCCTCGGTAGGAGGTCGGTTCGGGACCTCGGCAGGAGGTCGGCAGGCGCCCTCGGACGCGGACGCTGGGAGGTTGGCATTTTTGGCGGGTCGGAATGCATCCGAACCGACCCGAGAGCATGGAGTGGACGCCGGGAGTGGGGGAGTGGGGGACTCGGACGCGGACGTCGGGAGTGGGGGACTGATGATGGATATATTACGAATGGATCCGAACCGACCCGAGCGCATGGAGTAAGAACGGACCCCGGGGCGGCGCTACGTTCCCTGTTCATCCACCTCAGCACAAGGCTTCAGCGGGCACCTCAGCACGAGGCCCCGGTGAGAGACCTCGACACGAGGACGGCAGCGAACATCGACACGGACCCCGGGGCGGCGCTACGTGCCCCGTCAGTCCACCTCGGCACAAGGCCTTTGCAGGCACCTCAGCACAAGACCTTGGCGGGAGGTTGGCACGGGGTTGGCAAGAGGTCAGCACGGGGTCGACAGGAGGTCGGTCGGCAGTCGACCTCGGCCGCGTTGCCCGGTCTCCGGACCGAGCGCGGTCAAAGCGGGGATAACCGCCTCCCCCGATTCAGGGGCGGTTGGGAGGCCCACGGCTTGTATAAAAGGCCCTCCTTTGTCCAATTAAGGGACATTATATATTTTACGTAATTTAACCGATTTTGTTGATGAAATACCAAAAATAGTCATGCCACAATAAATACTAGGACTAAGGGGGTTGTTCTAAAAAAAAAAAAAAAAATTGACTAAAAGTGGATTATTACTTATAAATTTATGACAAAAATGAAATTAACTATGTATTAAATTAATATATTTTTATGAAATTCCATGCAATTTTTAGTAGAATTTAATTTTAATTAGATCAAGTAAAAAATTAGTAATATATAGATAATATGTCTCGAGTTGACAAGATTGTGAATGGCTAAATCACAATTATTTAATCATGTGTCCACAATCAGCTCACCACGATTCTACGTTCTCACTCACAAATCACAATCTATAACATATGTACCAACTAAGTCGTGGTCATATTAATTATTTTAATAACATAATAATAATTAAATAAAGCATTTTATTATTATATTAGCATAGAGAGTTGTAAAAAAATATTGAGAATTAGAAGTAGGATTGTAGGAAAGGTTTGTAAAGAAACGCACTTTTGCCCAATACTCCGCAACCCCGAATCTGTTTATGTGTATCCTTCACCTTCACGCCACCCTCTCCCTCCCTCAATTCGCGTCTCTCCCACGTTCTCCGCATCTTTCCCGCCCCGCCCTTCAACCGCTTCCTGCTTTTTCAAAATTTCTCTTCGCCTTTTCGCCGGCGTAATCAACTTCCGTTCCACTCCATCCAACAGCCATATATCATCATCCATCTCTCTCTCTCTCGCCGTACTCTCTTTGAATTGGTTAATGAAGCTAATAACCGTCGTAGTTTGCAATGGCGATGCTTCCTGTCCTCTCCCTCGCGTTTGTTCTTGTGTGCGGAATCCTGTGCGTTCGGAGCTCCGTAGCTGCTAGTCCGCCGGAGGTTTCATCGCCTGCTCCTGCTCCGGCGCCGGAGTACTCGATTTCTCTGACTCCGGCTTCCGTTCCTGCTCCCTCTCCCGCGGAGAGCATCGCTCTCTCGCCTGCAATAATCGGTGATGTTTCTCCTCCATCTCCGTCTCCTTCTCCTTCGCCCGTACATCTCACTTCTCCGTCGCCGTCCCCGATGAATGCTATCGCTCCGCCCGGTCATTTTTCTCTTCCTCCAACTCCGGCCGGTGCTCCTCAGATGCCGAGTGATGTAACTCCCGACAGAAATGATTCTGACAGCGGAATGAGCGGCGGGAAGAAGGTCGGCATAGCGTTCGGAGTTGTTTCCAGCGCGTGCCTGGTGGGGTTGGCCGCGAAGGTTTACAAAAAGCGGCAGGAGAACATCCGTCGAGCACAATTCGGATACTACGACAATGACGACGACAGGCTGCTCTAAGCTCCGACTCCTGTAACTATTCGCCCTAAACGTCCGCGCATACTGAAATCCTTTGCTACAATCTCTTCTCCATACATTTCTGGCATCCACAGATTGCAAGAGGCGATTCCTGGTGAAATATCTGATTCTCTACTCGCTCTATATTCATACTTTCCCTTTTCTCTTCCAGTTTATTTAATTCAATCAAACTTTTGCTCGTTTGGAGATTTAATTCGTTACATTTCTTAGTTCACAACATAATACAGTTCAACAGCATTTGACGGTGTAATGGAAATGACTAGTGATTCCCAATAATTCGTGATATACATAAACATTCTTGCTGATACATATGCATAATAGGGACTAATATTAGTTTGATAGGGTAAACATCAAATGGTGATATTACTCTTCTGTTGGAGGATCCACCCAGCGGCCATGTTCTTTAATTAGGTCGATCAAGGCATCTGTAGCTTGGTCCATTGCAATGGCCCGCTTCACAACAGTCTGTAAAGAACACCATTTTGAAATTGAATTCAGGTCAAGTTTGTTCAACACTTAAGCCATAACCTACTTGAAGCACAGGTTAGTCAGAGATTTTATCAACACTGCATTTTTCTTTCAAGATGTTAGTTTAGTAAGGATGACAATTTCACCCGAACTGATCAGAAACCTAATTCCCTGTCCCGACTAGGATGGGGATAAAATCCGGAGAACATGATGGGGAGTGAAATTTGGGGATGGGGATAAGCCCCATCCCCATCCCCATCCCGTTGCCGTTCCTATGTTAGATGTGCTATGTAGTTCAATTACAAGACATGTTAGAAGCTCAAAAAGTTAGTTATTGTTGCCTGCATTGGCATCTCAATTGGTTCATGAGTGTTAGATTGTGGACGAGGGCATCAAACCAAGCCTGGCAACCGCAGACTCGTAATATGAGAGTTACACCCAATGTGGTGGGTTGTGGGCACCCAGCATTGGTCCTCCCACAGTCCCATCTAATGGGCCGCTAAGTCACCGTGATTCACTCATCTACTACCATGTTGGACCGGGGTGTGGGGGCTATGGGGGTGGGGAATTTTGCTTGTCTGGGTAAGTTAGTCATTATTGCTTGCTCGTAACAATAAGTAAATCACATGTCAAACTGGGAAATGTTTGTTGTACCTTTCCGACATAAAGATCAATCTTCCCAGGAGCACCCCCAACATACCCAAAGTCCGCATCAGCCATCTCCCCAGGTCCATTGACAATGCAGCCCATAATAGCAATCTGCAGACGAAACAGACAAACCAAAAAAAAAAAAAAAAAAAAAGAGTAAACTTAAGAGTATCAAAATGTAGTCCAGAACCCAGTTCTGCAGTTTTGGTACTTACCGAAACACCAGGCAAGTGCGACGTCTTCTCCCTAATCTCTGCACTTATCTCTTGAAGGTCGAAAAGAGTTCTGCCACATGATGGGCATGACACATACTCCTGAAACAGTGAAGTATACAACTACTCAATTGTCTTGAATCAAAAACAACCAAACTAACATCCGGTTGATAGATATTTTTTACTACCGTTTTAGTATTCCTCATTCTGCATCCTTGTAGAAGATTGAAAGATGTATTCCTAATAAAATCAAAATCACTGTCTGGGGCTTCTAACAGGACACCATCTCCAAGACCGTCTACCAAGAGGGTTCCAGCATTGCTCCCGGCACTAATTACTAAATCATCCCTGTAATTTAGATCCCATGCTAAGTTTAAGCTTCAACATTTGTCATGCTCAAAATCAATCTTGAGTTTTTCATACCTGTGAATATCTTTGGGAAATTCTATATGATGAATTACTGGAAAATCCAAGGAATTTTCTGAGAGATATTCAAAAAGCCTGCAGAAATCGAAACAACTATCAGCACGGGACAAAAGCAGCCAGACATCTTGTTGTGGTCAGATATGTTCAATGTCAATCATTGTTGTAGGAAGATGGTGCAAATAATTATTTCTAGTTTGCCCAGAAGGGATTTTAGTAATTTCCAAACTGCTTTATGTCAACCTCTAGTCCTCTACTAGAATATTTTGAAAAACCAGATATAATTATACCTCCTGGCAGCATGAACTCGGCTAATTTTTTCTTCAGAATACGGGAGATTGTGAAGAACCAATGTAGCATCAGAACTCTTCAGGAATTCCAATTCTTCTTGGGCTTCATCGCCACGTACGGACACAACGAATCGTGTACCTAAAAAAAGTTGCCAATACAGAATGAGTACCGATGTTTATACAGTATATAACCAATTCAATGCTAAAACATTAATAGAAAACTCGCCTGCCGGGAGAAGCTTGTGAGCACCGCTAGATAATTCCTTGAGAGTAACCAAGACCATAGCGTTAGGAAGTGGCTTGGTTAACTGCTCCGATAAAGGAGTTATAACTCCCATACTAACGTCAATCAACCTCTTGAGAGCTAGACGCTAACCATGATAACACGGGGGACAATCAAATCAGTCTCACAGCTTTCATAAAACATAATAAATAAGGTGATAAGGTTACAATGCCAGAGCAGAAATTTACGAGAACAATCAAATGACATAGCAAAAAGGAAGCAGCCTTACAGCATCTTTGTCGTTCACCGGTGGAAGCTCTCTCAACAAAATTGAGTCCACAGTTGCTAGATCCTTAAACGGCATGCCAATAACCAGTTTCGTTGCTAATGACTTGTAAAAAAGTTCGGGCGTCTGCCGAAAGGGAAGTTTTATGAAAATAGAATTCGAAAAATAAAAACAATTAAATTAAGAATGCACAAGAATACATCAAAACGAGTGAAAGAGAAGCGCTGAATGAGACCTTCAACTGATCCAGGGATACAGACATGAGGACAGAACCATCTCGGTGCAAAACACCTCTATAATCCACTTCTTCACCCTGTCAAGCTTTCGTCTATTAGCCCAACATTGAAAATAAAAAACATTGGAGGCCTCAGCATAATACCGGTTAAATTTAAGTTGTAACCTCTTTTTGAATTGGCAACTGCCCTGTTCGACGTTGAAAATCAAAATAACGGCGGTGCTTCTCTTCAAATGGTGCCTGAAATGTCAAATCTATATAAGAACTCTTCAATCGATTTCTACGCATATTTATGAAACAAATTTGTTTATGCAATCCTACCACTCCTTGCTGAAGCTCGGCTGCTCTCATACCAAGGTTTGCCAGGCGTCGACAGGGATCAATCTCCTCTTCCGGAGGTTCAGTTAGGGAAACCCTAATTGTATCACCCAGACCGTCCTGTATGGTAAACAAGTTTCTTGATTCACCCATTTACGTACCGCACGTTTATGATGTTAGCGCGCTTAAGTAGTCGTAAAGAGAAAGATCAGAGTAAAATACCCGTAGTAGTGTTCCAATACCAATTGCGGATTTCATTCGTCCATCTTCACCCTCACCGGCTTCCGTAACACCTAAGTGCAATGGATAATCCCATCCCTGGACATACATCTCAGCTACAAGAAGACGGTATGCCTGGACCATAATAACTGGGTTGCTAGCTTTCATCGAGAACACAAAATTATGGAAGTCCAACTTCCGACAAATTCTTGCAAACTCAAATGCGGATTCAACCTGTTCGACATTACGGTACAATCGCAAAATGTTGGATACATATATCTTAGAAATTTTCAGTATTAGATTACGACTGCTTAGCTGCTTACCATCCCCCTGGGTGAATCCCCGTAATAGCTCATGATGCGATCTGAAAGGCTCCCATGGTTTGTACCAATACGCATTGCCCGCCCATACTTCTTGCATTTCTCAACCAATGGTGTAAAGACCTGAATCATTTCGACACAATATATTATTATATGGAACATTGAAGTAAATTATTTGATATATAGGAGCATACATTAATACTTCCCTAAAGACATGAATGCCTCGCTCCATACCGTCTTTCTTCTTAATTTGAGACGATATCTATTTTTATGAACATTAGAATAACAATCATAGCTGTTGTTAAAAGTCTAACCTCCTCGATATGCTCAAGTTCTTTCTGATAATCGTCCTCCGTGTACTCCAGTTGCTCAAACTGGGCTCGTCTGTCAGCTGGAAAAAAATGTATCCATTAAGATGATAACAACTAAACGACCACTCAACTACTTGTGTCAAAATTAGAACACGAGGGGGCATCAGAGGTTGAGTACCAAAGTTTCCAGGGTTGACACGAATTTTGTCGAAGCATTCAGAAACCCGAAGAGCAACTGAAGGAGCAAAATGAATGTCCGCAACCAGAGGAATATTATAACTGCATAAAAGGGAAACCGGTAAGATACCACATTGCTCGTACACATGAAAAACTTCAAATTTTTAAAAATAAATAAGCTAGACATACTTCTTCTGAACAAGAGAATTTTTAATTTCAAAGCATGCATCGGCTTCTTTCTTGCCTTGCACCGTTATGCGGACAATGTCAGCTCCAGTATCAGCTATTTTCATTACCTGCAGGCGCAAGAATTGACCAACAAATCATTTTCGATCGACATCTAGATAAAAATGGGTCCACTGCTATGAAAGACGGGGATTCTTACAATATAAACCATGACATAATGGACTTCTTACTCGTTATTTGTCATTTGACGTATTGAAACAGGAAAATAAGGAGTGTGAAAAGAACCTGTTCAACTGTTCCAGCAACATCCTTGGTATCTGTGGTGGTCATAGTTTGGATTCTTATAGGATGTTCGCTACCAAGGGCCACATTTCCAACCATCACAGTGCGGGTTTTTCTCCGCACAGTTTTGTGTATATGTTCACAATATTTCTGCCTAGGTACTGCAAACAATGAATCAAATCCATGCAATTAGAACACATACATATAAGTTGAAACGTTTTCACCCACTATTCTGCATATTCCTTAAAAATCCCAAATCCAAATCTTAATTAACCATGCCTACTTTAAAGCAAGATGTAGAAACTTTCACACGCCTTGAGCCCTCACTGCATTTAGAAACAAAAGAATGGTGCGACGAACACTTGAGGAGTCAGGAGGGGAGAAGGTCAAGGATTCATTACTAGACCAATAGATTTCTCCATTATCAGAAATCACATAACTAATTAAACTACCAAAGCACATTAAAAGGGACAAACAGATGTTAAATGAAAAAATGAACTACTTGGGACAACTACACCCCAGCCAAGTTGGTCAGGTCGTTGACTTAGTAACCACAAAGTTACAAGTTCAACTCTCAACGGGAGCAGCCTACTAGCCTTCTTGGTTTGAGTCAATCAACTATGGGCATCCTAAGTTGGTTTCGTGACAACCACCCCAACCAAGTTGGCCAAATTGTTGACTTAGTAACCACAAAATTACAAGTTCAACTCTCAACGGGAGCGGCCTATTGGCCTTCTTGGTTTGAGTCAATCAACTCCTTTTGGTCCTTTGTCGGGTAAGATCACAAGGTGGATTTACCCCATGCACAACCCGAGTAGTAGTTGTGGGTTTCCCTCGTCACCCAAAAATAAATGAACTGATTCACAAGACTTAGATTAAGTTAGAACTGAGAAAAAACAAAGAGAAACCTGATTGATACTTGATAGAGAACACCTACCTAGCAGTGGACTCCCTTCTGATGCAGGCTGAACCTCAACAGAACTGGAATTTCTGATCACACAAACCTTGCTTCTGCGAGACTTAACCCTCTGCATGTCAGAAACTCTAACAAAATCCATATTTTTTCCAAACCCCAATCCATTTTCCCTGCCTTTCAGCCCCGCAAATGAAACAGGAACTGCTCCAGTTGCCATTCTTCCCCAAAATGCAAATCCTCACAATTCTAAACCGCAAAGAAAAGCAAAACAATAAAACTATAATCAATTCACAATCTCCAAAACCTCAGTTCTGTTTGGGTGTAGAAACCAAATAACAAAAGCAGCCAAAGAATCGATCTTTGAACACAATCAAACTGTTCTCGATTGCATTCCGGACAAACCAATACCCAATCTACAGAATAACACAACAAATATATATAAATATATAAACTTTAAAAAAAAAATCCGCAGCTATGCTCAGCTAAAAAAAAAAAAAATTGACAAAAACTTAGTACCAAGAACAGAAATTCGCTCAGCGAAAGCTTGGTAACACTGCACTTGCCTTTAATCACAAAGGTGGGTAAAAGGATTCAAGAGGACG